TCTTTTAATACAAGTACTCCAAGCAGAAGGAAGTAGCATATGATAGAAGAGAAGGAGCAATCTATTTAGATATGCTGGAAGTCCTTAAAAGATGAGAGAAAAGAGAATCAAATATTCAATTTTCTAAACGGCTTCATAGCAAATAAAACATTTCCAAAACCATCATTCTTATTTGGAAAAAAACCCCACAGTGATAGTATCTTTAGAATTGTTTCAATGTACCCACAACAGAAAGGCACAAATATTTATACAGTTTTTTCAAGTTCAAAAGAATGGCCCTATATTTGCTCTGGTGTAAATGAAGACAGAATTTCTTCCTCTCCTTGTTTCATTTTTCTGAGGTAGTTTTAATTTACGTAGTATTGCCCACTAGCCAGTTATCTTTATTCTTTAGCTTTTTCTTATTTTCTGTTATTAATGCTCCTCTCTTTTGTTCTGCTTGTTTTTATACACCAGTGAAACAAGACTGAACAGCAAATACTGTCTGCAGAGGTTGCACTGGATTACCTACAGAGGATGACAGTACAGAAGCTGATTTTTATAGCACTGAGCTCACCCTTATAACTCATTTAATAGCACTACTGAAACCAGAAAACATTTGTTTATAGACCATGCCCTAGGCTGTATGGTATTTCTACTCCAGCTGACTGATGAAAGCACCCAATTTTTCATACTCATTCAGATCCTTAGGCTTGGTCTGCTCTGAATCACAAACTGTGCTGTATTCTAACCACACTAACCAGATTTTAAGTCCAGACTGTAAATTACCCTCGATATACCTAGAATCGATGAAAGTTTTGCTACTGAAGTCACTACAGGACTTGTTTTTTGTATTATATATCTGTATGTTCACTGACAATAAAGCTTTTATGGAACTTAAAATTTATTTGGTAATTAGAAATAGATTAATTTGGATAAACAAACCCCTGACATTCTACCTGCACCATTAATGTAGACCACTTTTAAACAAGCCTATCTTAGGAAAAGACTTGTCTTGCACTTTCCCCCATCAAATTTCACATAAAAGAAGCCTAGATTATTTCAGTGAGCATTGCAGGATAAACTTTCAAACTTCTGGATACTTTTGTGAACAGTGTTCAGTGTCACTGAACTGGGGTTTGTCTGTCTGAACTCTCTTGTCCTCTTCACTGTAAAACTGGGATGAAATAGAAACTTTGAGAGAATCTTGCTTCTAGTCTGATCCAACTGAAAGTAGCAAGAGTAGTTTTGATAACTGTGATTCCTCGTGTCAAAAACCGTATAAAGTAAACCAGACCAACCTATCTTGAATGTTCCATGTTTAGACTATATCCTAATATAATCACCCTTGTTGTCAAAAGGAGGGGAGCATTTTCTCAGGCTTTGTTTCTACACGTGGTAACAATAGAGGCTAATAATTCGGTACAAAACAGTTCCTGGGAAGATGCCTCAGTTAATGATTGCACGCAATATATATATATTTCTGATTGTATTTTACCTCATGGTATTTGAGTTCCTCTTCTAAAAATGTATCTTTTCAATAGCTACTGCTGCCTCTTCATATATTCTGAGTACCTTGCTTTCAGAGGGACTTGCCCTAGTGTTGGCTGAGCCAGAAACTATAAATAAGTCAAGAAAAAGTCTGGGTTTTTGGGTTTGGTGGCTTGGGGTTTTTGTATATGTGGTGGTTCTTTAAAGCAATTGGAGCTTGATTGATTCCATTTATAGCTTTCCTCTAAGACTGAGCTGCAATCAAGGGTTTCTTTCAAGACGTTTTTCTTCAATTTTATTCCATTTCTCTCTTAAAAAGGGGAGGCACTAGTTCAGGCTTATGTGGAGATGAACCTGAGAGAGCTTCAGCTGGCACTTTTAAACTGAGAGGATTCTGGATTTTCAGAAGAGAAACTGAAAGGCTGAAACCCAGCTTTCAGCATAGGCCAGCTCAAATCTCGTTAAAATGTGTCTGGAGTGAAACATCATGAGAAACCAGTGGTAGCTTGTTATATGTTGCAAATGTCATGCTGGTTGTTGAATTGTGCTTCTTAAAGCACAAAGAGATGCTGAGGGAATAAATCCAAGCATTACTTCTCTATCAGTTAGATGTGCCTCCAGAAGGATCATATCACCAGCTTACTCGTATCTCAGTCCAAACTTTGTTTGACTTGATTTTATCTTTTTTTAACACAAGTATCACTGACAATTACAGGAGCTTCTAGCTGAAACTTCTGTAACTAAAAATCTGGGGCATTTTCCTCATGTATAGGACATCACTGAAACTTTGAGCTGCTTTTGTCCATGAGAACTAAAAATTGGAAAACTAGAGCTGTTCCCCAGGCTGAAAGCCTGCCATGTAACTTTGTTGATTGCTTTTTGCTTATAGCAAGAGTTAAGACAAGAGCATTTCAAATATTTTGTTGTCTTGACTTAGCAGCTAATCCAAGAGAATAAGCCATTCAGAGGAAAAAGATGTATTGAGCTTTGAGCAAAATAACTACATTTGCTTGCTTTTTTTTTTTGTCTTGAAAAAAATTTTTTTAAGCTTTAATAGAAGTCTTGCATCTCTTTTGGCCGTTTTATAGGTTTTGAATAAATTACAAGGAAAAAGCTTCTGTACTGAATTTATCAATAACAATTTCTCAGAGTTCTGTATTTAAAGTGTCAAGATGTATCATAGCTTCTGATTGATTGTCGGGTTTGTTCTTTAGCTCTAGTCTTCTGCAAAAATATTAACAATATAAATCTTTAATGTTCTTTTTTTTTCCCTGCACTGATAGAATTAATTTGTTACTCACATAGAAGCTCTTAGCTCAGACTGAGGTGAGGGATGCTTATTGGAAATCATTGTATTGAACAAGGATAGTATGTGTGAGATGATATTTTTTTTATTACAGCAGCATCTAGAGGCTTCATCTGAAATTATATTTCTTCTGCTAGACATCGTATGAACACACAGGGAGAAGACAGTACCTGCTCTACCTATCCCCCCCAACTGCAAAAAACCAAAACCAAACAAAAACAAACCCCCCCCCCAAAAAAAAACAAACAAAACCCCCCAAAACCCCCACAAAACGCCAAAAGCAACCACACCTCCAACACCTGAATGTGTCATACAGGTGACACACTCAAATTAAACACATTTTGATTGTGCATATAAATAAAAGTAAGATCTTGGAGAGAACATTTTGTTTGTGAGAAACACATGGCCTTTTTGAGAAGTACACTTCCTAGTCAGTCAAAGGGCCAATGCCAAAAGCTGGTTCAGCTGCAAGGTCTTTCAGGCAGGGTTTGACTGACTTACCATTTCCTAATTGCAAGGGCTTGTAAGGTTGCTATCCCATGCACAGGATTCTTCTGTGAACTTTTCATTTTGGTGACGATGATTTAGTCAACTATTTTTAAGAAAGCTGATGTTCATGCAAAGAAGATCTTTCATTGATTTTAGGATTTGAGTAAGAACTCTTGTTCCATTATTGATTGAGATGGCAGGAAGTGATATTTTTATTGTGGCTATCAAGCTGGGAAATGGGATAGATTTGGAAATAACGTTTCACTAGAACTTTTGTCTCTAATAGAGTAATTCATAAAAATAATTTCATCTTACTTAAGACATTCAGGAATGAACACGGAGATTGAGGACAACTGGTTCCAAAGACTTCTTACAGAGGGCAACTAAAATTTATCTTTAACTTGTGGCAAGAATTACGGAATTTGTTATGGGTGTGACTGAAGGATGACACTCAAGTTTGTCATGTAGTTGTAAGAGTAGCATAGCTGGGCATTACAGCTGTGCATGTGTGCACATGCAGTGCGCCTGAGCCACAGATTTCCTGGTTGGTGCAGAACATCCCCCAGTCAATAATCTGCATAGATGAGACAATAGAGTGAAGTTGAGCAATGAGATTGACTGAGCTGGTGACCTTCACAGCAGCATTTGGCTAACTGGTGCAGGAACTCTCCAGGTGAGAATCTCAGGCTGTCCAGAGGTTCCACAGGCAGCTCCTGCTGTCCTTACATTGATTTGTACTTTTCCATGTGTCGATTAAGAACCTGGCAATGTAATGGAGACCCTCCAGGTAGTTCCTGCAGCAGAACTGACCAGGTTGCACCTAACTAAAACACTTGCAAATAGTCCATAGAAACAGTTCCTGCAGGTGCAGAAATGGTCACAGTGTAGTTTTTTGTACATAGTTCAGACAGGTGGGCGATATTTGGCACATAATTTATGTTAAACAATAGCAACGGATCATGCACGTGCTGGATGTTCATGTAGAGCTGTGGGCCAACAGGACTAAGATTTCAGCAAAACAAGTTTCCCACTGAAGATGCTGTTGCAAGTATCCTTGCAATAGAGACTTTAGTTGCCATGCAGAAAGGAAACCTCATGTTTGACAGATCTGATTCCTAAAGATACTAATAAATCAGTTTTCTTTAACAGTCACTTTATGTCCTATGTCCAACAGACTCAAGAGAGGAGTTACGACTTGAGTATCTGCTCCAGTGTGGAAGTTGCAATCACTATCCACAGAGGCAAAATAAAAAAAGGGGCAAGAGAGCATAGAAATAAAATGTTTAATGGATCAGACCCTACATGAACTAAAAGTGTCTTTTTCTATGTGTCCTTATTTCCTGAGAGTAGATCACAGTGTATAGTTGTAGGTAAGTACAAGTAGGTATAGAGTATGTACATTCAGCTCACAAAAATCTCATTCTACCAGTCAGAAATCAAATTTTATTAGTATAAGACTTGAATGGCATGCAAGGACAGAAATACTGAGATTTCATACTGTAGAGTTACTGGATAGGTTGTTATGATGGCATCACATGAACAACCAAGATGCTGTTGGTAATCGTGTATATGGATTTTTTTGTGGTTGGGATAATGAAAGGAATTACTTCCCAAAGTAACTTTAATTTACATAAAATGACTAAGTTTCTGTTTTCCTTTCTGATTATGTGGACAGAATCATCACTGTTCAATCAGATACAATAACTATTCTAATTCTGAAATCGATTTGCATTACCTGGATTTGGTTTTCCGGTTTTATATTGCCTTGAATTGAAAAACCTGGAATAATAAACGTTTAAACAATAGTAAAAAGTCTCGGTCATGTTCTGCAGGTTAACAAAAACTAGGCAGTAATACTGGCCATTAAGCAATGTGCCAGATTCTCAGCTACTATCACATGCATTCAACAGGACTATACCTATTTTATTGACAGAGGGTTTGTCTGAAAGTCCTCTAAAATTCAGGTCACTAAACAATTTCCTTGTTCACCTTTAGCAACCATTTAACAAATTGATTAGTTAATTGATGACATTCAGACATTTCCTAGAATGCAGCTCTCTACCAAATTTGCCACAGTCCTGATTAGTCACGAATAATATCGATTAAAAGTACTTAGATTAAAGCAAGAGTAAAAGAAGCCCTAAGCCAATTTAGTGTTCTACCTAGTTAACCTAGCATCAATTCCCTGTTAATTTTTCATTCCATTCTTCTTGCACTTAGCAGCAATGTGCTTTTACTTGTTCAAAAAGTATGTGAGGAACACTTGGGATTTTTTTTATTTTTTTGAATCTGATTTAATGAGTTTGAGGTATACAAGATACGATGAAAAATTTGTGGACCAGCAATTAACTTTTAACAAGTCTATGTAAAATGCAGCATAAATAGAAAATTAACTATGTAAGTCACAGACTGATAAAGATCTATTAGATCATTTTAACTGTTCTTTTAAAATTGATACAGAAAAAGCTTACTCTTGAATTATTGGTGTAAGTTGAGTGCCGAGATTTTCACAGTGAAACCATTTTTCAAAGAGGACGTTAGTTGATTCTCCAACATAGTATCTGACAAAGTAAAAACATTAGTCAATCCTTTTATTAACTAGCTGATCAGGCAGTTTCAGTCTTTTCGAGAAAATAGCTACTTGATGGTGTGTAAGAACATGTTATTCTTAAGCCTGATGTACTTTATTCCAAAGAGTGGTTATTTAGGGAAGCTTTCTGTTTCCCTGTGAGCTGATTTGGTGGGTGGGCGCTCAACGCTCCTGTCGAGGGCCTTGTAGTTCTGCTGATTGACCACAGATAAGTCACCAAATTCCTTTCGCAAACTTCCCAGATTTAATCCTGGGAATGACTGGTGCCATAGTCCCTCGGGACCGATAACTCTCCCTTTGGATGTAGTTACTTCAAAAATAACTGGCCCCAAATACTATTTCCAGTAACTGCTTCCAAGCGGCTATGAGATAAATGCTCATATTTACAAGAGTCAGCTTGCTTATTGCCCATGCATGGACTGATAAGAAAAAAAGGTGGCTTACGGGCTTGTTTGCAAAAAATAGATGATTATCAGCTGCATAAATTTGGGAAGTGTCATTTAGCTCACCCCTCTGAAGAGGATCTTAGTGCTTCACTTGCGTTATTTCATGTCTTAACGAACAAATAAATTGTGCCGAGATCAACAGGTCAAGGTTGCTGTAATCTATGGAATGGCAAATATAGAATTTACCTACAGATTTAAAATAGGCTGCACGGGCTGGCAAGGGAGTGATGTTCCAGTACGGTCACTCATATTGCGACTGGTTGTAAATAGGTCCTATGTGTCCTTTGGGTTAAAGTCACTGGAATGTGTGTTTGAGGAGGGAAACAAGGCTTATATAATTATACCATGCATATTGGTGTATTAATGTCTGCCTTATGTATCTATATGCATATTGTCCAGAAACTTTCTAAGAGCTCTCTGGCTCCTCAAGTTTTGCAAAAACAGGGTATTTGGAAGAGAATAGCATTATTAACCCCTCCAATATGGAAAAGGTGTGCTACGAGCACATATCTTGAACTGGGAGAATCTATAGAGAAGGGAGATGTTACAAACATCCTCGCTGGGAAAAGGCTTTGCACCTGGGAAGGATTTTGCACTTTACTAGGTGTTAAAGAATACAACCACACAAATAACATAAAACTTAGTTGTTTCTGTACTTGTTTGCCATAGGATTAATATTAGCTAGTGCATTTTTCTTGTAGTATAATGCATGAATCATTACTTAGGCTGAAACGCTGCGGCAGGCTACTTATTCTTCACTTCTACAATAATTGGCGTGCTGGGGGCTCTGATTTATGACTGAGGCTTGTAGGCATGATAAATAATGGAGCATATTAGACCTTGAGTCAGCATACTTCAAAGTTTATTATGACTTCCTCTTGTACAGTCTTTGCTGCAGGTGGCTGGGAGTGAAAAAAAGTTTCAGAAGATTAGAGGTTCTGGTTGTAAATCCCCATCTCTCCCAGGAGCACACAGACAGACAATGTGGGTTCAAAAGAATTACATGATTGTTCACTTCCAAAACCTCAGGTGTCTTTGTTCATCATGTCAGTGTGAAAACAAGAACACTAAAAAACCTCTAAGTGGTTTATTTTCAGGCACCTGATTAGATATTTTCAATTAAGAGTGTGCTTTGTTAATCTGAGTATTTTTTTTCCACCTGCAAGCCATATGGTAGCATTTAGTTTAATTTCTCCACAAGAGCATGACTATACTGGAATGCAAATCTCTAGATTTACCTGGCATCCCTAAAAAAGCATTCAGCATCTCTCTAACCCATATCATTCACACACTTCATGTACGAGGTAGGTTATTTTATTTAAAGTTACCTAAAGCTACTTATATGCCTTTATTGCAAATAAACATTGTTATCTGAATCACTGGCCAATTGTTCCTAGCTCAAAATATCTTTTTAATAATGCAAATGCTCACAATCCACAGACCTGCAATGAAAGTTAAAAAAGGTACAAGTGTTTTAAATTAACTGGCTTTGTCTTTAGCTTGGAATCCAATCAGGTCTTTTTTTGAATGGTCCCTTTCTTACTTTCTTCTTTCTTTAGCCTTTTTTGTTTGAATGAAAAAGTGAATCTTTCTAGCTTCACATATTCGCAATCTGCCTGCCGTGACACCGCCCGTGCAACAATCAAAACTGTAGGCAAAAGGACAGAAACAGTACCTTACAGATGGTATTACCACAGTTTTAAATCTTTAGATTACATGAATTAGGTGTAAACTCTCTTAGGTCAGTCATAGCTGGTTAACGTCAAAACAGCTTCTCTAACTTGGCCACTGTTGCTGCTGTGACTTGCTGCCTTAGACTTACAAATTCTGTATGACCACAGGACAAGGCTTAGTCCTGCTCCCACTAGAATACAAAGTAAACCTCTCATTTCTTTGAAGATGCTGTTCTCATAAGGCAATAAAAGCTAGGCAGAGGTGTGTACAACGTAGAGGGGTTAGTGTTAAGAAAATTGACTTGTTTCCACTTCCTACACATTTGCCAAGAAAGCTCCTCTTCATCTTTTTGCTTGCAGTGCTTACAAAGGAATTGATGTTCTGCTTGCCAGAATTGATAAAAAAATCTTTTTTGATTTGTGTTTTTAGAACTCTCATATTTTAAAACCTAAGGCAATAGCAGTAGGCAATACATAAGTAGATAGCTATAACCACAACATGCATTTAAGACGCTTCAAAGTGTTCCTTGTTTAACTAAATCAAATGCAAAATGAGATGTCTGTTTATGTGTGTATAGATAAATAGGCATGTGGATAAAATTAGTACAGAATTGCCAGGGCAAATCTGATAAATTATCAGGAAAGTAAAATACAGTATTGTATTGACATGAGAAATTAGTTTATATTACAAATCCTAATAGATTAGCCAACAGTTTATACTTTACCTGAGCCCATCAATTTCTGTCTTTAATCTTTCCCTCTCAATCACAAGACCCACAGTGTTTGCGTATCTCTGAGGAGAATGAGGTATCCTAGCAGGTAGGAGGAACATCTGTTCAAAGAAATGGGAAAGCATCAGCGTCAGGCAGCCTTTGTTCTTTGTGTTGCCCTTCCCCTGCAAAATTCTCTGCTCCTCGCCTCACTTTTCCCCTACTCTTTGTTGATCCTGTGTTGCTCCTTTGCAGCTGCACCCACTTTGGTACCAACAGCCCGGCAGATACTGCTTCTTGCTTTCTCAGTGAATGATGACCATTGACTCTGCCATCAGCACTGCCTTTATGGCAGCCAGGTGCTCTCCTCCTGGTTTGATCACTATTGCTAGACACAATTGAAATTAAAATCTAACCCGTTACTCATTTGGAATTTATAAATTTACTGTGATTTCTGACTAGCAGAAATGGAAATAAAAAGCAAGTTTGTTGTCAGCTCAGGAAAATGTCTAAACTAATCAACCACATGTATCCCTCCAACACAGTGAGCACCTATGACTGCATGATGAGGAGTGTTATTCTTTCCAGAAATAATTAATTAATATGAGGGGCTACTTACTCATGCAAGTGACAAGTGAATAAGCAACATCTGGTTGAGAGAAGTCTATTACTGAAGTTTGAGAATACACCTTTCTCTAGCAGCTATCTGACTACGTAGGAAGGTGGTAAGCCCGAACTGTTCTTCAGTGCTACAGATTTCTTGGCTGAGTTTGGGCAAGTCATTAAAATTTCTGTGTCTGCAAAGCCGAGCTAATGATAGTGCCTCCCCAGGACCGGTGTCAGTCTTCCTGCTAAGGATATTGTGTGCACCTTTTCATTAATGCTTCTGGTATGTGCCAAGATCTCAGCTGGATGTATTTCTCCAGTGTGAAGTCTATTATCAGAATCTTACTGTCTATAGGTTTGAAAATGTAGATCTGCTTCTTCATTGAAAATGTCATAATACTTTTAATGACATCAAGCTATTGGGTCTAACATATGTCTTCCATTTTAAAGGCTGGCCCCACTGGATCTAATAATCCTTTCAAAGACTGAGAGCAGTTCAAGCTTGTGACAATAATAACGAGTGGCATCTAATAACTTGTAGTAACACCAAGTAAAGTGTCTGGTCACGCTGCCATCAAAAGCACTGCCATCTATACTTTAGCAAGTCCATTACTCTAAGGAAAAACAACTGAGTGCAGCCGGATACGTTTTATCCGTAAATTGCTCTCTTAAAACTGTTCTCCTGTTGTGATGGTTGTGAAGTCTAGCTGTGAGAACTAAAGAAGGCTGAAAATAGTGGAATCTCTTAACTTTCTAAGTTCTAGGCAGTTTGCTTAATGGTGCGTTTGGGTGGGTGGGCAGCATGTACCTGACAATGTGTAAATAAACGACTGATCCACTTGAATTCACACGGCAGATTCTGTGCCATGCAGGGGAATAAGAACTCCTTTCCGTATAGTCCTGACTATCTGGATTGGTATCCCAAATGCCCAGAGAGATTTTTATCTCTTACTGAAATCATGAAATGTTGAACACAGTGTATTGTAGTTTGCCGTTAATTACGTGGAATTTGTTATACTGTATTCAAGTTTTTTAATTTTTTTTGTTTTTTTAATCCTGATGCCATCTCTTGCACAGCAGGGATAAAATGATTTTTAAATACTCAATAAACTATTCATTTAACATACCTCTGTACAACAATAACATAAAAACAACCCTGTTTTACCTCCCCTTCTCGGATGACGATGTCTTTTGGTTTCCCATTTTCAATTATCTTCAAACACATATCTCCTTTAACCTGGTAAAAAAGCTGAAGGAATAGGAAAATAACATTAAGACAACTACTCCAAAACATTCTGTGCTTCACTTTCTGTATATAAAGGATACATGTACAAATACATTCAATCTATAATTGCAAATATTTACAGGTTTTTTTTCTCACAATAAATAACAGACTTCCAATCTTTGTTGCTTTTGAAAATATTACTAAATATGTATTATTGCCATTATCTTACATAGATTGTCAAATGTATCTAAGAAGTCAGTATCTGCTTATAGAGCTATTCTGTGAACCCAGTGGAATTCCATTGCGCTGTCTTTACTCCTGGGATTTTTTAGTGCTGGGACATCATGGTTCAGACATCCATTAATTACACTGTATGCGAAGCTTCGTTTCAGATGTAGCAGGGTTTTCACTATTACATTCAGTCAAATTAAATGTCACTTTTCCAAATAAGCTCCAAATAAGCAGGCACAGGTTTCTTGGGTGTGTTTTTTCATTTTTAATGGCAATTTTTGATATGGGAATAATTCCCATTTGGAAGCGGTTCTGCTTTACTTCTGTTGATACCCTCAAAGCCCAGCAACATCTGCTCCTCTTCCTACTGTGTATGTAAAAGGATTACATTTGTAGCATGTATAAGGATGGAACCACTGAACCCGTAATTCTGTCTTCAGTGACTTTTCCATAGCTCTGTTTTCAGAGAAGCTTCGGGGGTGCTCTGAGGTGCTTGTGTTTCATAGCAGAACTGTGCTATGATCTGTAAGCAGGTGTCTCTTTGACCTGGAATAATAGGCAGATATTTCCTTGTTTTATATAATACAGAGCAATGATACTTCAAAAAGTCCACTTTAATTTTCTGTCACGCTCTACCAAGCTTCTACTTGCTTTCTGTGTTTTGTCTGACATATCTAGAAACCAAACAGATCAATTCATATAATTGCAGCTGAAATTGTCTGAAACCTGATTAAAAGTAAGAACTGTAATGACAATAATTTTATTTATAGTAATTCACCACAATTTTAGAAAAATGGAAAATAAATAGGGGAAAGAAGAAAATGCCAAAGTATATTAACCCCCCCCCCCCCCCAAAACCACTTTTTCCAACAACAA